AACTGAAAAACAGTAAAGTAATTCCATTTATAATAGCATCATAACAAATATATGTTAAAAGACTAATTTTGAAGAAGGATGTGAAACATTTGTAAACTGAAAATTTATAGCACTGTTGAAAGAAATTGACATAAATAGAAAAACATCCCATGTTTATGCATTTGAAAAAATTAATATTGTCAAAATTTCAATGCTACCCAAAGCAGTCTGCAGATAAAATGCAAGCGCTATCAAAATCCAGTTCCATTTTTCACAGGAGAAAAATTAGTCCCAAAATCTGAATGGAACCACAGAAGATGCTGAAAAACCAAAGCAATCTTGAGCAAAAAGGACAAAGCTAGAGGCATCAGACTACTTGATTTCAAATGATATTAAAAAGTTATAGTACTTAAAACAGCACAGCACTGGCATAAAAACAGACACCTAGACCAGTGTGAGGGAATACAGAACCTATGAATAAATCCATGTGTCTGTGGCCAATTGATTTTTGATAAAAGGACAAAGAATACACAATGGGGAAAGAAAACTCTCTTCAATAAATAATGTAGAGAAAAACTGACTATTCACATACAGAAGAATAAAATTGGATCATTGTTTCACTCTTTATACCAACATCAAATAGCAATGGATGAAAGACTGAAATATAAACCTGAAACCATAAACCCAATGCAAGCAAAGATAGGAGAGAACCGTATGACAATGGCCTGAGCTATGATTTTCTGCAGGTGACCCCAAAAGTACAGGCAACAAAAGCAAAAACATACAAATGAGATTCCATAAAACTCTCTGCACAGCAGAAGAAACAGTAATAAAGAGACAACCCACAAATGGGAAGAGAGAATTTTTAAACCATACATCAGGTAAGGGTTTATATCAATAATATGTAAGGAACTCAACCCAGAAATGAGAAAGCAGGCTTACTAAATAAGCAAAGGACTTGAGTAGACATTTTCTAAAAACAGACATACAAAAAGCCAGGTTTTTATCAAAAATGTTGATAAAAGCATTCCTAATTATCAGAGAAATACAAGTCAAAACCACAAAGATACCTCACAGATGTTACTGAGGCTATTATCAAAAAGATGTGGCCGGAAACGGTGGCTCACACCTGAAATCCCAGCACTTTGGGAGTCTGAGGCAGGTGGGTCGCCTGAGGTCAGGAGTTCGAGACCAGCCTGGCCAACATGGTGAATCCCCGTCTCTATTAAAAATACAAAAAATTAGCTGGGCGTGGTGGCACACACCTGTAATTCCAGCTACTCGGGAGGCTGAGGCAGAAGAATTGCTTGAACCTGGGAGGTGGAGGTTGCAGTGAGCCAAGATCGTGCCACTGCCCTCCAGCCTGGGTGACAGAGCAAGACTCCATCTCAATAAATAAATTAAAAAAATAAAAATTAAAAAATGATGGAAGATAATTGTTGATTAGAATGTGGAGAAAACTCTTGTATACTGTTGGTAGGAATTGAAATTAGTACCACCGGCCGGGCGCGGTGGCTCAAGCCTGTAATCCCAGCACTTTGGGAGGCCGAGACGGGTGGATCACCAGGTCAGGAGTTTGAGACCAGCCTGGCTAACACGGTGAAACCCGTCTCCACTAAAAAATACAAAAAACTAGCCGGGCGAGGTGGCAGGCGCCTGTAGTCCCAGCTACTTGGGAGGCTGAGGCAGGAGAATGGCGTGAACCCGGGAGGCGGAGCTTACAGTGAGCTGAGATCCGGCCACTGCACTCCAGCCTGGGCGACAGAGCGAGACTCCGTCTCAAAAAAAAAAAAAAAAAAAAAAAAAAGAAATTAGTACCACCATCTTGGAAAACAGTATGAAGCTATTTCAAGACATTATAAGTATATTTGTATTATGATTCATCAATGCCACTTCTGGATATGTGTCTAAAGAACTTAAAATCAGTATGTTAAAGAGACATCTACAATTTCATGTTCATTGCAGCATTATTCATAATAGCTATGATTTAGAAACAACCTAAGTGTTTATCGACTGAAGAATGGATAAATAGGTGAAAAATTGAAACCCTTATACACTGTTGATGAGACTTGAAAACAGTCTGACAGTTCTTCAAAAGGATAAATACAGAATTACCACATGACTCAGTAAATTCACTCATATGTATACACCAAAAAAAAAAAAATGCCTACACAAAAAGTAGCATACAAGTATAGCAACAAGAGGTAGGAAACAATAGAAGTGTCCATGAATTGTGGAGTGGATTAATAAAATGTGGTGTGTCCATAAAATATAATAGTATTTGGCAATAAAAAAAAAGGTATTAATACGTGTTCCAAAAAGGGTGAACATGTTGAAAACATAAGTGAAAGCAGTGAGTCACATGTAACTATATTACATTATGATTCCATTTATATGAAATGTCTAGAATAGGCAAATCCTTCCAGAATAGGCAAATTCTTAGGAAGTAGATGGATGGTTGCCTAGGGCTGGGAGGAGTTTAAAGGAAGAGTGGGGAAAATGGGGAAAGATTGCTAATGGGTGCAAAGTTTCTTTTAAGGAGCATAAAAATGTTCTAAAATTATATTGTGGTGATTGTTTATCCACCCAGTTAATACACTAAAAAATTGAAGTTTACACTTTAAATGAGTGAATTAAATAATATATAAATTCAATGAACCTATGAAAAAAGTTAAAAATATGATATGCATACACACATACACAAAAAATTCTTTTCATTGTATTTTTTTATTTCCATTGGTGTTTGATTATATGAGTAAGTTCTTTAGAGGTGAGATTTTGGTGCACCCAACACCTGTGTAGCATATGCTGTATCCAGTTTGTAGTCTTTTATTCCTCACCCACCTCCCACTCTTTCCCCCAAGTCCCCAAAGTCGATTGTAGTATTCTAATGCCTTTGCATCCTCATAGCTTAGCTCCCACTTGCGAGTGAAAGCATACTGTGCTTGGTTTTCCATTCTTAAGTTACTTCACTTAGAATAGTAGTCTCCGATCTCATCCAGGTGGCTGTGAATGCCATTATTTTTTTCTTTTTTATGGCTGAATAATATTCCATGGTGTGTGTGTGTGTGTGTGTATTATGTCTATTACACACACACACATATATATAAAATAATTCCTTAATCTACTCTTTGATTGATGGGCATTTGGGGTGGTTACATATTTTTGCAGTTGTGAATGGTGCTGCTGTAAACATGTGTGTGCCAAGTATCTTTTTCATATATTGACTTCTTTTTCTCTGGGGAGATACCCAGTAATGGAATTGCTGGATTAAATGGTAGTTCTACTTTGAGTTCTTTAAGAAATTTCCACACAGTTTACCATAGTGGTTGTACTAGTTCACGTTCCCACCAGCAGTGTAAAAGTCGTCTTTTTTTCACCATATCCCCACCCACATTTATTATTTTTTGATGTTTTGATTATGGTTATTCTTGCCAGGAGTAAGGTGGCTTGGCATTGTGGTTTTAATTTCCGTCCCTGATCGTTAGTGATGGATGAACGTGTTTTCATGTTTGTTGGCCATTTTTATATCTTCTTTTGAGTCGTTAGCCCATTATTTGAAGGGATTGGTTTTTTTTCTGCTGAGTTTTTTGTAGATTGTGGATATTAGTCCATTGTCAGATGTATAGATGGTGAAGATTTTCTCCCCTTCTGTGCGTTGTCTGTTTACTCTGCTAATTGTTTCTTTTGTTGTGTGGAAACTCTTCGGCTTAATTAAGTCTCACCTGTTTATCTTCATTTTGTTGTCGCACTTGCGTTCGTTCTTGGTCATGAAGTGTCTCCCTAAGCCAATGTGTAGAAGGGTTTTCCAATGTTATTTTCTAGAATTTTTATGGTTTCAGGTCTTAGATTGAAGTTGATTTTTGTGTAAGGTAAGAGATGGGGATCCAGTTTGATTTTTTGGCACGCGGCTTGCCAATTATCCAAGCATCATATGTTGAATAGGGTGTCCTTTCCCCACTTTATGTTTTTGTTTACTTTATCAAAAATCAGTTGACTTAAGTATTTGGGTTTATTTCTGGGTTCTCTATTCTGTTTCACTGGTCTATGTGCCTATTTTTATACCGGTATCATGCTGTTTTGCTGACTGTGGCCTTGTAGTAGAGATTGAAGCCAGGTAATGCAATGCCTCCAGATTTGTTCTTTCGGCTTAGTCTTGCTTTGGCTATGTGGGCACTTTTTTGGTTTCATACGAATTTTTGAATTATCTTTTCTAGTTCTGTGAAGAATGATGGTGATACTTTGATGGACATTGCTTTGAATTTGTAAATCGCTTTTGGCATTATCGTCATTTTTACAATGTTGATTTTACCCATCCACGAGCATGAGAGGTGTTTCCATTTGTTTGTGTCATCTGTGATTTCTTTCAGCAGAGTTTTGTAGTTTTCCTCGTGGAGGTCTTTTACTTCCTCGTTAGGTATATTCCTATGTATTGTATTTTATTCTTGCAGCTGTTGTAAAGGGGTGAGTTCTCGATCTGATTCTCAGCTTGCACATTGTTGGTGTACGGCAGATCTATTGATTTGGATACATTAATTTTGTGTCCTGAAGTTTTGCTGAAATTATCAGTTTTAGGAGCTTTTTGGAGGAGTGTTTAGGGTTTTCTAGGTATACAATCATAATCAACAGCAAACAGTGATGATTTGACTTCCTGTTTACCGATCTGGATGCCCTTTATTTCTTTCTCTCATTTGATTGCTCTGGCTGGGACTGTCAGTGCTGTGTTGAATAGAAGTGGTGAGAGTGGGCATCCTTGTACTTACTGTATCAGTTCTCAGAGGAAATGTTTTTAACTTTTCCCCATTTAGTATTATGCTGGCTGTGGGTTTGTCATAGATGGTTTTTATTACCTTAAGGTATGTCCCTTCTATGCATGTTTTGCTGAGGGTTTTAATTATAAACGGATGCTGGATTTTGTCAAATGCCTTTTCTGTGTCTATTGAGATGATTATGTGACTTTGCTTTTAATTCTGTTTATGTGATGTGTCACATTTATTGACTTGCCTGTGTTAAACCCGAAGAGCTAGGGTGTTCTCAGGAGCCGCCGGGTGCCACAGCAGCTTTGGGATAACTTGAGGCCGCATCCTGTGGAAGAAACACCTCCTGTCCTGGCGCTGACGGCTGAGGACAGAGCTTTGGTGTGGCTTCTCCGCGGCCGGCTTCTTTGGGGAGTTTGGCTTCTTCGGGCAGTTCTTCCTTCGTGGTGAGTACAGAAGCTTTCATTTTCTGGAATGTTCTGTGCATTCCTGCTGGGTTCTCCTTTTCTTTTTTCTCTCTTGCCATCTTAGTATGAAGTTCACAGTAGTGCTCATTCCCTGAGGGCTGTCTAGATTGGAAAGAGGAGGAGGCTTTAGGGCTGTTTCTGAGGGAGACTCACTGTGTAGATGGAGAGAGAGGAAAGCTCTGGCTGTGAGAGGAAGGGGAAGCCCGGCCCAGGTGGGGTTTTGGGGCCAGGCCTCAGGTGGAAGGAAAGGATCCCGGCCACCTCTAGGATTTGTTGATTTTTAAATTGTTTTTATTTTTTTGAAGATGGGTCTGGCCCTGCTGGAGTGCAGTGGCAGATCTCAGTTCACTGCAGCCTCCACTTTCTGGGCTCAAGGGATTCTCCAGCCTCAGCCTCCCCAGTAGCTGGGCCTGTGCCACCATGCCCAGCTATTTTTTTTTTTTTTTTGTATTTTTGGTAGCCACGGGGTTTTACCATGTTGCCCAGGCTTGTCTCAAACTTCTGAGCTCAAAGCAATCCTCCCGCCTTGGCTTCCCTAAGTGCTGTGATTACAGGCATGAACTACTGTGCCTGGTCTGCAGAATTTTGTTTTTCTTGTATTTTTGGTAGAGACAGGGTTTCACCATGCTGACCAGGCTGGTCTCAAACTTCTGAGCTCAAAGCAATCCTCCCGCTTTCGCTTCCCAAAGTGCCGGGGTTGCAGGCATGAACTACCGCGGGTGGTCTGCTGAATTTTTACATTTGTTTCACAGCCGTTGGGACATAGGGTGACTTTTCTCAGTGTCCCCGCAGCGTATGCCTAATTCTGTCCCTCTAGTCATGGCCACCTGCCTGGGGGGAAGCTCCCTTCCGTGTGGTTTAATGTCGTCTCTGCGTGCTCAGTTTTGGATGGATCATTTTTTTGTTGTTGCTACTTGGTACTGTTAATGTGTTGCATATTTTCCATAACACCCCCGTTAGCCGATGTGTGATTCCTCAAAACGTTCCCCCAGCCTTTCTCTTTGGGTTCATTGTTTCCTTTTCCTTGCAGAAACTTCTCACTTTGATGTAGCCTGCATGTTGTTTTTATGGCCAGGCATGATGGTTCATGCCTGTAATCCAAGTACTTTGGGAGGCCAAGGTGGGCAGATCACTTGAGCCTAGACCAGCCTAGGCGACACGGCAAAACTTCATCTCTACAAAAAATACAAAAAATTAGGCGTGATGGTGTGTGCTTGTAGCTCCAGCTATTCAGGAGGCAGAGGTGGGAGAATCACTTGTGCCAGAGAGTTCAGGGCTGCAGTGAGCCATGATCATGCCACTGCACTCCAGCCTGAGTGACAGAGTGCCTGTCTCAAAACAATTTTTTAAATCTTTTTAGTAACGTTCATTTCGGTAAGAGTGAAATGACATCTGAGTGTGGCTTTGAAGTACTTTTTTTTTGATGAATAGTGATGTTGAGGACCTTTTCTCTTACCTGTTAATTTTATGTCATCTTTGCAGATATGTCTAAATTCTTTGCTCAGTATGAGTTTGGATTTGTGTTTTTATGCTACTTAGTATTCCTTTTTTCTGTGTACGTGTTTGGTAACAACAGTTTATCACTTCTATGATTCCCTCAAATTTTCTAACAATTTTTTTTGAGACAGAGTCTCATTGTCTACCCAGGCTGCAGCATAGCAGCCTATCAGGGATTGTGAGTCCTCCCACTTAGTTTCTATTTCTCAGGGTTCCTTAGACACACAGGGCCATTTCCATGTGATCATTAGCGTTGCATACTCAGATTTCTTAAATTTTTGTGCGTAAAAAAGTATATAATTAGAGAGTATGCTGGAACTGTTTTTCCTCTGGGACTTTTTGGTACATGTATATTTTTAGTAATGATCAAATTGGGGTACTTGGTATATCTGTTCTCATACAGTTGTTATTTCTCTGTTGTTATAACATTCAAATTGCTACCTTCTAGCTTTTTTGGAAAATGTACTATTTTGTTAACCAGAGTCACCCAGTTGCGGCATAGAACACAAGAATGTTTTTCCCAACTAACTGCAACTTTGTTTCCATAGCCAATCCTCCCATTTCCTTCTTCCCCTCTCCTCGGAAAACCACTACTGTGCCTTTTACTTACTGAAGGCAGAGTTTTTGGATTCCATATAAGTGAGATGAATCTGCTTGTTTTTCTATGCCTGGCTTATTCTATTTAACATTCTATTTTCCAGGTTCATCCATGTGGCTCCAAATGAAAATCACATTATTTTGTTACGAATGAAGAGTATTGTGTTGTGCAGATACACTGCAGTGTCTTTATCTCTTCATGTGTGGTTGGATAGGTAGGTTGATTCCATTATCTTCTGTGTTGTGAATAGCGCTTCATGAGGCATGGGAAGGCAGATACTTTTTTTTTTTTGAGACGGAGTCTTGCTCTGTTGACCAGCCTGTAGTGCAGTGGCGCGATCTTGGCTCGCTGCAAGCTCCGCCTCCCGGGTCCACGCCATTCTCCTGCCTCAGCCTCTGGAGTAGCTGGGACCACAGGCGCCCGCCACCTCGCCTGGCTATGTTTTTTGTGTGTGTATATTTAGTAGAGACGGGGTTTCACTGTGTTAGCCAGGATGGTCTCAATCTCCTGACCTCATGATCCACCCGCTTCGGCCTCCCAAAGTGCTGGCGATTACGGGTGAGCCATCGTGCCAGTAAGTTGGAGATAATTATTTTCTTTTTTTTTTTTTTTTTTCTTTGAGACGGGAGTCTCGTCTGTCGCCCAGGCTGGAGTGCAGTGTGGCCCGGATCGTCAGCTCACTGCAACTCCGCCCCGGGTTCAGCGCATTCTCCTTGCCAGCCTTCCCGAGGCGCTCGGGACTAACAGCGCCCGCCACTCGCCGGCTAGTTTTTTGTTTCTTAATAGGAGACGTGGTTTCACCGGTGAGCCAGGATGTGTCTCGATCTCCTGACCTCGTGATCCGCCCGTCTCGGCCTCCCAAAGTGCTGGGATTACAGGCTTGAGCCACCGCGCCCGGCCGGCAGATAATTTTTATGGTACGAGTTTCCTTTGCCTTAAATGCGTACCCAGCGTGAGGAACATCCCAACTTTTTTTCACAGTATATACACGCATTTACATTGACATCAATAGCATAGACGAGCTTCCCTTTCTGTAAGTCTACCCTGGTTGCTGCCGTCCAAAATTTTTATTGCTGTTTTGGTGATACTCATTCTCAGTGGAGTTTGATGGTATCTGATATCGGGATGTGATTCTGACTTACATGTTTGGAGTGATTAGTGATGTGGAGAATCTTTAGTTTCACCTGTGAATCAGTTTCATGTCCTTTGCAGAAGAGGTTGTGCAGGTCCTTTGCATATTTTTAGCTTGTGTATTTTTAAAAATCTTTTCCCCACTTAGCAGCTTTAGTATTTGAATATGTTAGATAACAACCCCTTCCAAAACTATGTTTTTCCAGTTTTCCCCCAATCATCCTTTCCGCCAAGGTGTAGGATGCTTTCTCTTTGGGGTCATTGTTTTCTCCCCCATGCAGAAGCGCTAAAGTGTTGGTCTCACAGATTTATATTTGGTTTTGTCAGCAGGGATTTCTGTGTCTCATAAGAGAGAGAGAGAGAGAGAAAAGAGAGAGATGGCAAAGTCATTGTATTTTCTATGGGTATTTTCCCCTAAGTGAGACCATGTGGTATTTGGTTTTCTGTTCTTTCCTTAGTTCGCTTAGCATAGTGGCCTGCAGGTTCATCCTTCTTGCTGCTAAGAGCATGAATATTTTTTTAAGCTGTGTAGGATTTTGCGGTATCTTTGTACAGCACTTTACAACATTGAATCAACTGTTAAAGGGAACATAGGTTAATTTTTATTTTTTCTTGTGAATAGCACTTCTAAGAACATACCCATGCCTGTGTCATTCTGAAGGAAGGATTTATTTTTCTTTTATGTGTAGATACCCAGTTATGCGATTGCTCATTTGGATGGTAGTTCTGAGTTCTTTGAGGAACCTCTAAACCACTTCTCATAGCGTGAGAACTAGTTTTTATTCCCACCAAGAGAGTAGCAGTGTTTGCTTTCCTCTGCTGCCTTGCCACCATGTAAATGTTTGGACTTAGGACAAGTGGCCATTCTGACTGATGTGAGATGGTATCTCCGTGTGCATGTGAGTTACATTTCTCTGATGATGAGTGATGTCGAGTTTTTTTTCTTGTCTATTGGTCACTTGTACATCTTGTTTTTACAAGTACGTGTACGTGTTCATGTCTTTTTGCCCATTGTTTGGGTTATTTGCTTTTCTGCCTCTTGATTTTTTTAAGGTCATGTTAGAGTCTGGCTATTAGACCTTGGTCAGAAGCGTAGTTTGGGAACATTTTCTCCCATTCCGTAGGCTGTGTGTTTACTGTGCTGGTGATTTATTTTGTTATCTGGCAGTGTTTTAGTTTCTTCGGCCCAACTTGTCCATTTTAGTTTTTCTTGTCATTGCTTTTAGCAACTAAGTCATCTAAATTCTTTACCAAAGCCCGTGCTGAGAAAGGTATTTCCTAGGTTTTCTTGTAGGACTTGTATAGTTTGAGGTCTTCTACTGAAATCTTTCATTCGCTTTGAGTTAGTTTTTACATCTTGTGAGAGGTAAGGCTCCAGTGTTATTCATCTGCAAGTGGCTAGACACTATCCCGGTGCCATTCATTGCATAGTGAGCCCTTTCTACATCTGAATGTTGGTGTTTCAAAGGTCAGATGGTTGCAGGTATGTGGGGTTACTTCTGGGTTTCCTATTCTGTCTAGGTGGAGGTGGGTCTGTAGCTTTTCTGTGAAATTTGAAATTGGAGAGTGTGGTCCATCTGACACGGTCTGGATCTCCCAGCATGGCTTTGGAGTTTCAGAGCATTCTGTGGTCCCATGGGAATTTTAGCATTCATTGTTTCTTTACATCACTTTCAAAGAACAAAATTGACCCCATCCTAAAGGTGTACAAGTAGAAGGTAGAGTGGAACATTTGGGTCCATGCATGCATCACATAGTGATGAAATCAGGAAAATACAGTGTCATTTTTTGCCTTGTAGAGTGTTCCTGTCTTTGAGTGGAGGAGTGCCAGAACCCTTCTTTCTGGCTGTCTTGAAAACTATCCTCTGGTAAAGTTTTTTCTAGTCACCCTGCTGAGGAATAGAACAGCAGGTTTCATTCCTCTTATGGAACGTGTCACTTCGTGCCTATTTCCTATCCCCACCCATGCCCAGTCTTCTCTTCCAACCCTGGCAAGCACTGGTGCTTTGTAGGTCTATGTGAGATAAAGGGTCTTAGATTCCTCATCAGTGAGGTAATGTGAGGGTTGTCTTCTCTGCCTGATGTGTTTCATTGACCATAACGTCCTCCAGGTTCCACCATGTTGCCGCAGATGACGTGATTTCAGTACCTGTTCTGGCTGAAAAGTATTTGTTTGTGAATGGATATTGTGGTTTCTGGATCCCATCCTCTGCAGGTGAACAGGCAGGTTGGTTCCTTATCTTGGCTATTGCGACTGGTTGCACAGTCAGCATGGGAAGGCGATTATGTCTTCCGTGTACTGATTTCATATGATTCCAACAGCAGCACAGCTCAGTGAAATGGTCGTTGTATGTTTAGTTTTCAGAGGAACCTCCAGATGGCCTCTGTAGTGTGCATACTCATTTACCTGTTAACAGTTTTGGATAAGAGAGCTCTCTCCTCTCTGGAAATTCACAGCAGCGTTTGTGGTTTCCCTTCTTTTAAGATACCTGAAGTTCTTTGTAATACTCCTTCCACCGAGAGGGTCACGGTAACTGAGTCTTGTTCTGATTTTCATTTTCACGATTAGTGATATTAACTAGGTGTTACCACGTACATTTGTTTTCAGTTTTACATGTTCTTTGCAGAAAAGACTCTTTGATTTCTTTGCCCAATTTTGGTTTGCTAATTATCTTCTCTTTCTGCTGTTTTCTGCTAGTTAGTAGGGTTAGTTATTTACACCTTTTCCAGAAAAAGTCTCCTCCGCTGTGTTTTCCCCGATACCTTTCTTTACTATTCTTTGGATGTTTGTTTCTTTTCGTTCATTGTTTTCATTCTTTCTTGCCCCCAGGCCTTACAGTCTGAAGCAGATTCAGGGGTGTGCAGTGTTCTGGTTTTCCACTACGTTGGTTACTGATGAAGTAAAGGAAATTCACCAGCATATTCATCTGTTGTGAGTTTTGCTTGTTTGTTGTTTGTAATCTTTTCTTTCCCCTATATTTTTTCATTTTCCTTTTTGCAGACTGTAAGCATAGATCCGGGTTGACCGAGGTATTTGCGCACCATAGTCTTTCTTCTCAGAGAGTGACAGTTTCAAGTTTTGGGTGTAGGTCTTTCATTCATGTTGAATAGGTTATTGTGAATTTCACACAGTAAGGACCCTTGGTTGTTATTTGCCTAGGGATATCCAGTTCTCAGAACGCTGTATTGGACAGACTCTCCCTTTCTGTGCTACTTTTGTGGTTCTATTTAAACACGTGCTTATGCTGTATCAATTTGAATTTACTCCTGGGCACCCTCATGGTGTCCATTGGCCTGTGTTTCTCTGCTAATGCCTATCACAAATCATCTGGGTAACTAAAGCTTTGGGAAGTAATTTAAAATGGAAGAGTGTGACGGCACTCCACCGACTGTGTGTGTGTAGGAACTGCTTTGGGAATGTGGGGCACTTCACTGTCCCACAGGACTTTCAGAAATGTATTGTGATCCTGTTTGGAAACAGAAATTTCACATGGTCTATGCCTTTACTTTAAGGGTGCAAGGGACCTTTGGACATATGGATCAGTGCTGTTGTGATCAAATTGCAGGACCTCGCGTCTCTGTTTCAGGCTATAGTGAGGATTTCTTGGTGGAGAGAGCATCCTGATCACTCCTTCCCGCTATGTTGAATATGATGCTAGGAAACTCTTAAGCCTAGTCACCCTGCTATGCCGTAGAACACCAGAATTCTTGCCATTCATCTGAGCCTCACTTTGTAGCTGTTTCCAAGCCTCCCCTCAGCCTCTGGTAGCCACCATTGACGTTGCTACTCTATGAGATTCACTTCGTTAGATTCCACGTGCGTGAGTTCGTGCTGTGTTTGCGTTTGTCTTCCTCTGCCTGACTCATTTCCTTTAACCTAATGTCCTTCAGGTTTCTCCATCTTGCTGGAAGTGACCTGATGTCCAGAAATTGGATGGCTGAGGAATATACCATTGTGCACGCATCCTTCATTTACTGCATTTCTTCCTCTGTGGATGGACAGGTAGGTTCCCTCCATAACCTGGTTATTGTCCAGAGTACTTCCTCAAACATGTGAAGGCAAGTATCTCCTTAAGGTCCAAGTTTCCTTGGCTTTGCCAACATACCCAATGCTGGGATGGCTGGAGGAACTGGTGGTTGTACTGTTGTTTCAGAAACCTCCTGCTGTCTCTCCCAGTGGGTATACAGATTTTGATTCCTACCAATAATGTGTGAGAGTTTCTCTGTCTGCAAATCTACACTGCCCTTATCTTCAAAAAGTTGTATTGCTGTTCCTGGTCATACTCGTTCTCTGGGGAGTTTGACAGTATCTGAGTGTGGTTGGGATTTACATTTGGGGGATGATTACTGATGTGGAGAAACTTTTATTATCCATGAGTCTGTTTCAGGTCTTTTCAGAAACGTCTATGCCAGTCCTTTGGGCATTTCTAGCATGTGTATTGGTTTTTATGGTTTTTTCCACTTAGGAAACCATTAGTTTCTTGAATATGTCAGAGAAGAAGCCCTTCCAGATCCACAGTTTTCTATAATTTTCTCCCAGTCTGTGGGACGTTTTCTGTTGGGTTCACTATTTTCTCTCCTTTGTTGAAGCTGTGTGAAGCTCTGAAGTTGTCCTTAGTCTCACATGGTTACATTAGTTTCTGTTAGCATGGATTTCTGTGTCCTTTTGAGAAGAAAAGTGAGATGGTGAAGCCATTGTATGGTCTATGGGTATTTGGTTCCTATGTCTTCCTTTTCTGTTTGTAGCTTAGGTTCACAGGTTCAAGTTTCCCCACAATAGACACGCAACCTGTGTGTTTTCCTTGGAGATTTTGGTTTCAGAATTACCCTTTGGTGTTCCGTGGATTTTGTGTTGCTTTGTGTGTCTTGTGTAGAGGAAGGGTTTATTTCAGTCCTTTGCACGTGACCCCCCCGTTTCCTCAACCATTGCGCCTTTGGTGTGCTTTTAGGGGAAAAACAAGAATCCCTTGGGTTCAGTGTTTATAATTTTGGGTTGATTATTTGACTCCTTCGTTGTGTCCATTCGCTTATCTTTCTGTGTTCATGCTACTAATGGGTGGATTGGGTCACTGTAGGCTTTTTGTTTTGTTTTGTGTGTTTTCTTGTATTTTATTCCTTTTTTTCTATTTGTTTCCAAAGCTGGGTTTTCTAGAATGATAGCTACTTGGATTGTGATCGAGGGGTGCGCCTGCAGGTTCGCTTCACTGCGTGGCATACAGCAGACTTGGGGTCCCAACGTATCGGTCACCCAGGAGGTGAACACAGCATCCGTTGGGTCTGTCTTCCTCCAGGGCTTCCTGTTTCCCTCCTGTTTCTGTCTGTTAGTACCCAGTGTCTTTTGATTTCATCTTTATGTTCATGTGTATTCAGTGTTGAGTTTCTGCTTACAAGTGAAAATCTGCAGTGCTTGGTCTTCTGTTCTTGCCTGAGTTCACTTAGCAGAGTGGCCTGCAGTTCCATCCATGTTGCTGCTGCGGGCATGATTTTGTTTCTGCGTTTGATTTTCCTTGGTGTCTTTTTGGTGTTCTGTGGTGTATAGGTATCACGTTTAAAAACCTCTCGTTTTCTGTTGGTAGGCATTTAGGTCAGGTCCATGTCTTTATTCCTGTGATGAGCACTCCTGTGAACATGCAGATGTCTGTGTCTTTTTGATAGACACATGTATTTTCCCCTTGGGTCGATACACAGGGTTGGATTGCTGGGCCGAAGGGTAGTTCTGCTTCCTTTCCCTCTTTGTTGTTGTTGAGAAATCTTCAAATTGCTCTCCACAGTTTGAGACCTAGTTTGCATTACCGCCAAGAGTGTAGCCGTGTTCGCTTTTATCTGCTGCTACACAAGTATGTTTTGAGTTTGGACAGATGGCCATTCTGACTGGTGTGTGACGGCACTGGTACCCTCCTCTCTAATGATTAGTGATGTTCAGCATTTTCCCGTGTCTGTTGGTCTTAAAGGTCTTCTTTTTGCTAGTGTGTTTCTGTCATTTGCGCATTTTTTACTTGGGTTATTTTTCTGCTTCTTGATTTAGGTAAGGTCCTCTAGATTCTGGCTGTTAGAAGTTGGTCAGATGCTTGGTTTGGGGACGTTTTCTCCCATCATACAGGCTGTGTCTTTACGGTCTTGGCAGTTTCTTTGCTGTGCAGCAGGTCTGTAGTTTCTTAGGCCAGACTTGTACTTTTTTGTTTTTCTTGCATTTCTTTTGGGTACTAAATCATCTTTAAGTGGTTTGCAAAAGCCTATGTTGAGAAAGGTGTTTGATAGGTTGTCTCTTAGGACTTTTATATTTGAAGTCTTCTGTGTCAATCTTCGGTTCATCTTGAGTTAACTTTCCATATGATGAGAAGCAGGGCTGCAGGGTTAATTCTCCTGCACGTGGCTAGTCATGTATTCCAGCGCCATTCATCGCATAGTGAACCTTTTCTTTATTTCTCATTTCTGTGGTTTTGTCAAAAGTCAGATGGTGGTAGTTGTGCCGGGCTGCTTCTGCATTTTCTATTTTGTCTAGGTGAAAGCTAGGTCGTTTTTTTCTGTTATGATCTGTTCTGATTTCTTGGGTTCAAGAACTGATAGATAAATTTTAGAAACTGAAGAACCCACTTATATCCTCAAGGTTAGAAACCATCACCATCATCCTATTCTGTGATGCTATGGACACTTTTCCCTCAAGTCTCTCCTCTGGATTTATTTTGTGAAATTAGATTCTGAATCACATTTTGTTGCATAAACTGCTTGGGCAAAAAAGTTTTTTTTTCTTTAAAAGCATTCTTAGTATACATGGGTTGAAGAACAACAAACATGGCTCCTCTTTCCACTAGTCACACCATTACACTCCCTTCCAGCCTCTTTGCTGCTACGTATAGCCATTCAAATGAGCCCTGGCCAAGTACATGTGGGTAGAAGTTAATGTTTGGCCCTTGCAAGCCTGACCTGTGGTTCTGTGTCGTGATTTAGAACATAAAAAAGAAGTGAGACTTGCTGAATGAGACAAAAAGCACTCTTGAACGCTTCCTCTGACAAGCTCCAAGGCACACTAGTTGTCTTGCACTCTTTTGGACAGCTACTCATTTGTTGGACGATAATTTGCCAACATGGGGACAATCCATAGCATTTTCCACATGCATCTTCTGCTGCAGTTGCTCATGGTTTTGATCAAAGCTAGACAGTGACTGCTCCAGGAGGCTCAGACCCCAGGCCAGCATAGAGTCCTGTGGTTGAAGACAGGCTGGACCATCAGAGGAAGAAAACAAGTAGGCCTTTCTTCTGGATTTTTACCTTCTCTTTTTTCAGGAAACCTGAAGCTGGTTATATTATTCAGACATGATTGAAAAGAGATTATTTTGAGTTGTTTTGGTGGCACCAAGAAATGCGCCAATGTGACAGCCGAAAAAGCAGAGAGACCAAGGCATTGAGAGTGGGAAAGCCACTGATGATTCTGGGTCTGGTAGGGTTTTCGAGATTTCCCAGCCCCAAAACAGCCAAGCAGCTCTGTCCTGGGTTGTGAGTGGGCTCAGCCCCTGTGCACACCCATGCTTGGATTCCGGCATACATGGCACCCACAGGAAGCAGCGCCCCCTCCAAGAGACGGTTGGCAGGACCCTGTCTCCACATGCGAAGGCAGCACCCACACGTCCTCTACTGCTCCCAGTGCCAGTTTCCCACAGAGGTTCACGATGAGACCCAACCTGTAGGCAGAGTTGCCACCCCAGCCTGAGGCAAAGTGGACCTTTTTCTGCCAGAGGGGTCTGCTTTCCCATTGGCCAAAATGGCCTCAAATGACAGGGACAGAAGGCAGCACAAGTGCCCATTAGAGTGTCTGACCCGCCTGGTTCTGCTGCCACACATCTCCGGGGACGTCCCAGCAGGCACCCAGGCCTGGGCCACAGCTCACCCTACACTCAGAGGTGGGTAGCACAGCTGCCCGTGCAGGCCTCAGGGAGGAAAGGGAGAAATAGAGATGACAAAAGCAAGACACAATAAATGCAGCAAAAGCACACAAACACACACTGACACTCATCTGGGGCAGGCCATCCTCTCACCCATGACCAGCAGTGCAGGCAGCCGAGAGCCGGGCAGGAGTTGGTGCCGCCATCCCCTGAGTTAGGGCCTGGATCTAGGGCAGAATATAGAGTCAAGGACCACTGACCTCAGGACCTGCAGGTTGCGGGGGAGGGGATGCTGTGAGGAGAACTGTCCAGGTCACAGCTAGGTATGTCTGACTTCAGGAAAATATTTCAAACCAAAGTACATTTATGGAAGACTCCTGATGATATAAAAAAGTATGGTTTAGAAAATGTGAAAGCAATCACCGAACATATTCATATATTTTCATCTAAATTTAGATACAGAGTTTTTCTAAAACTGGGATCAGGCCAGGTGTGGTGGCTCAGGCCTGTAATCCTAGCCCTTTGGGAGCCTGAGGCAGGAGGATCGCTTGAGGCCAGGAGTGGAAGACCAGGCTGGGCAACATGGTGAGACCCCTCATCTCTACCAAAAATACAGAACTTAGCCAGGCATGGCAGCGCACCCCTGTAGTCCCAGCTGCTCAGAAGGCTGAGGCGGGAGGATTGCTTGAGCCTGCAAGGTTGAGGCTGCAGTTAGCCAAGATTGCACTGCTGCATTCCAGCCTGGGTGATACACCATCTCAAAAAATAATAACAGTAATTCCCGATTTTAATAACTGTTCTGGAGTTGTCTAAAAGAATACCCTTATTCTTAGGAAATGCACACTTTGGGGTAATTATGTCTATAGTTTACACTGAAATCATTAAAAAACATATGTTAACGGACAAAGTAAATGGGACAAAATGGAAAAAATTTCTCCAAATTTTAGAAATTGGTAAGTCTTGGTTAAGAGAAGGAGTCTTGGGTACTATTCCTGTGACAACGTTTGAAATTATATAAAAATTTTAAGTTCCTAAAACTGGCTGTAGAACTGTATGCTCTGAGTGAGCATTTATTTTGTAAAAGAGCGATTAAGACCAAAACTTTAATCAGTTGAAAATCTGATGAAATAAAAGTAGTAATATATTAGTGTTTTTGATATCAAATCATGGTAGAAGGGTGGTAACTTTTACAAGTTTTTCTCCAAGCACAGTACATGTCTGTGGATTTTTTAAGAATTCAACTTCCTGTAATTCTTACCTTCCTCCACCTAAAGTGACAGTTTACCAAATACTTTTGAGTAATGGTTAGATTGGGTCAGATTCTCAAGGCTTCCTCTTTAAAAGTCATACATTTAATTCGGGTAGTGAATTACTTGGCTGCTTTGTTCCTGTGAAAGGAAGTATATAAAAATGTGCCCTTAGTAACACACAATGGGTTTCTCCTGACAGTTTTTTCTTTTTCTTTTTTTTTTTTTTGAGACGGAGTCTCGCTCTGTCGCCCAGGCTGGAGTGCAGTGGCCGGATCTCAGCTCACTGCAAGCTCCGCCTCCCGGGTTCCCGCCATTCTCCTGCCTCAGCCTCCCGAGTAGCTGGGACTACAGGCGCCCGCCACCTCGCCCGGCTAGTTTTTTTTGTATTTTTTTAGTAGAGACGGGGTTTCACCGTGTTAGCCAGGATGGTCTCGATCTCCTGACCTCGTGATCCGCCCGTCTCGGCCTCCCAAAGTGCTGGGATTACAGGCTTGAGCCACCGCGCCCGGCCGACAGTTATTTCTAGTTATGCAGTTGTCTTACTATCTCAGCAAAGTCATTCTTAACTTCCTCCATGTCTCAGGTTGGAAATAGCAGCCAATTCAAGATCGATTTAAAGACTTTAGGGCCAGGCGCGGTGGCTCATACCTGTAATACCAACACTTTGGGAGGCCAAGGTGAGTGGATCATGTGGTCAAGAGATCGAGACCATCCTGGCCAACATAGTGAAACCCCATCTCTACTAAAAATACAAAAATTAGCCAGGCATGGTGGTGGGCGCCTGTAGTCCCAGCTACTCAGGAGGCAGGAGAACCACTTGAACCTGAGAGGCAGAGGTTGCAGTGAGCAGAGCTTGCCCCACTGCTCTCCAGCCTGGAGACAGAGCCAGAGTCCGTCTCAAAAAAAGAAAAAAAGACTTAAACGTCAGACCAGAAACTATAAAACTGCCAGAAAAAACAGGAAAAAGTTTTGAGAATATTGGCTTAGGCAAATAATTTATGAATGAGATCTCAAAAGCACAGGCACCAAAAGCAAGAACAGGTAAGTGGGCTATAACTTCTGCACAGCAAAAGAAACAACACAGTGAAGAGACAGCCCCTGGAGTGGGAGAAAATACTTGCAGATTACTCATCTGACAGGGAACTAATACGCAGAGTATACAAGGAACTCAGACTCCTGAAAAGTTAACAAAACAATGCCATTAAAAATTGGCAAAGGACAGGAATAGAGACATACAAATGGCTAAGATGTATATGAGAAAATGCTCAACGTCATTGATCAGGGAAATGTAAATCAAAACCACAGCGAGATATTATTTCACCTCACTTAGAATGGGTATTATTAATAAAACACAAAAAGTAACAGATGCTGGTGAGAATGCAGAGAAATGGAAACTGCTACACTGTCAGTAGGAATGCGAATCAGTACAAGCATGATGGAAACCAGTGTAGAGAATTCTTAAAAAAAAAAAAAAAAAAGAAAAATAGAGCTACTGTATGGTCCAGCAATCTCACTAGGGGGGAGGTATTCATCCAAAAGAAAAAGTTCAGTGTAAAAAGGGTAACTTGCATGCTTGTGTTTATCACAGCATTATTCACAAGAGCAAAGATACCGAGTCAATGCAAGTATTGATCAACAGATGAATGGATAAGATGTGCTCAATATACACAGTAGAATATTTGGCATAACAAATAAATCATGTCATTTTCAGAAATGGGTAGCTCTGGAAGTCATTAAGTAAAATAAGCCGGGTACAGAAGGACAAATACTGCAGGTTCTCACATGTGGGAGCTAAAACTTGATCTCATGGACACAGAGAATATGATGGCAGTTACCAGAGGCCAGGAAGATGGGGTGTGGAAGGGAGAATGAAGAGAAGTTGGCAATTGGGTGCAGACCTACAGTTAGAAGAAATAAGCTATAATGTTCGACAGCAGACTATGGTGACTAACAATATTATGTGCAAATATTCAAAGTAACCAGAATACACATTTTATGCATGTAACAAGCATTTGTATGTACCCTACAAAGAGGTAAAATATTATGTGTCAATAAGATGGAGAGGTTATGCCCCAGCCTCGAGAGAGGGGCTCCTTGGATCCGCACAGCACATCCTGCCCACCTGCATCCTCTGCTCCACTGTGCTGGTCGTATCTGGGCCTTCATGCTCCGGTCCCCAAGGCAGGTGGTGCTGACTCAGGTGGCCACACTGTGGATCTGGGTGTTGGTGGCCCAGAGGGTGGGTGCTAGAGGCTTCCTGCTCTTCTTGTTCACTGGGACCAGATGGAGCCAGGCAGTGATAGGGTACCACCTTCTTGACCAGATCTTGGAACACAGGAGTGTTACCTGGCCCCTCCTCATCCCAACTTAGTGCCCAAACTACTCCTGGGCCTGGCATGGCTGGGCTGGAACTCGGGATGCAGCTCAAGCCTTGTGGCATCTCTGGGTTCTCTGTCCACTGAGGGTGCCCTGGGAGCCAAAGCTGCCGGGAAGAGATTGGCTTATCCTCATGCCTGGCACCCCAAACTGTGCTTCCTGGTCCATCGCCCTGGTCACATTCCCCAGGGCAGCTCAGGGCTTTGTTTAGGGATTTACCGTAGTCAGGTGCCTAATAAGTGCTGCGACCTGCAAGGCCATGTGGGCAGATGGGAGGTGCTCTTCGGTGAGCACCCCCAGCAGCCAGCAGGGCAGTCCCCCACGCAGGCGTCTGCGTGCTCCGCTTGTGTTTGACTGTTACAGCACTTCCTGTCAGGGACAGCACCTCCCGTCCCTCCTGTCAGGAAGGACACAGACAGCAGGTGCCTGGGGGCAAGGCATTTGCCAGGTAACACAGGCTGTGAGTGCTGGAGCCGGGATGGATTTGAACCCGAGTCATGGCACTCTGTATGGGGCAATGGAAGATGTGGGGATGTCCATGCAGGAAGGAAGGGCAGCCTGGTCCCACTGAGCCCAGCTGCTCCTTGTTATCCTGGAGGAAACTGCTCAGCCCGCAGCTGGGGAGAGATCCCAGGAGGTCAGGCTTCCCCTTGCTTCCTGGCTCGGGATCACAGAGGGACAAGGGAAAAATTGTGTGTGTCTTTTTTCTTTTTGTTTCGTTCAAAATTTAGTTTATTATCAAGCAAGAGGAGCTTAACCTTGCATGTTAGGCAAGACTTCAGTTACGAAATAGTCTTTTTTTTTTTCACTTGTGATTGGCTTCCCCTCTACTTTTTTTGGCAAGTGCAGGTTGGTGTCCGGGCTCAGAATCCATTTTTCTTCCCACACCAGAGCACCTCTGGTTTGGGTGAAGCAGCCTGGTTGGAGCCTGGCTGCCTAAGCAGGAGGGTTGAGGTGCCACTGCCCTGGTCCAGCTCAGACGCCAGCACCAGGGAGGCTCAGTGTCCTGTTCCCAGGATCTGCACAGGGGGGTGACTTTCTGCATCTCCCCATCCGTGGGAGGTGCTCCTCCAAGCCGCCTCTTGCCAGCCTGGACACAGCAGCCTGCACCTTGACCCTATTGCATGCCCCCCAGGAGCAGAGCCCCCCAGGCCAGAAGCCCCACAGCTGTTGGCTCTGGCTTGGACACCGGGCAGGAGGCAGTGGGGCAGGAGCTGACCGTGATCCTGTGACCACAAGTGCCCCCTCACTGATGGTCTCATGTTCTGTGTGCGGACCAAAGAGGAGCAAGTGTGGAAGGCGTCTCAGGCAGGTGCTGGGCTCGGTGGGTGTTTTGTGGTCCGCAATTTTGAGGCTATTTGCAGCCAGCTCCCTCAGCCCGAGTTCCGAGGTGCAGCCGCTGCCACGCACAACGGCACGGCCAGGAGTGTCTTGGGGGCTTTCTTCATAGGAGGCTGTCAGCATCCTCAGGTTCCAGGCGCTCGGGCCCAGTCCTGCTTCAAGAGGCTTTTTTCCCCCCACCGGAGGCTTCTCAATGGCCTGAAAGCTCCGCTGACTCCCGCGAAGTTTGCTGGGAACACAAGGCTGTCAGTGACATTCGTGGCGCCAAGACTTAACCATGCGGCTTGCACGGATCCGCCACGGTCTGTGCCACGTGCACTGGCGCCTCCTGAGATGCACGCGCACGTCGCACGCGCACGCGGCGCGCGCGTAATGGTTTGGTCTGTAACCGCTTGGCTGGCTTGTAGCGGTTTGCACACGCACGCCGCACGCGCGACTGGTAACTGGCTGGTTTGTAGCGGCTTGCACGCGCAGGGCACGCGCGCGTAGTGGCTTGGCTTGGCTTTGCGTTCTTGGCTTGGCCTCGGTCCTTTGGTCTGCTGTTCCTCCTTGGATCTCCTTGGATTGACGTTTTCTCTTTGGGTTGATGTTTCCTCCCTAGTTCCTTTGCTGGGCTTGACCTTTTCTCTGCTGGGTTTGGCATTCCCTTGGGTGGGCTGGGTGTTTTTTTGGGGGGGTGGGTTGGCCCTTCCTGGGGTGGGCGTGGGTTTTCCCTGGGTGGGGTGGGCTGGGCTCCCCTGCTGGCGTTGGCAGGTTTTGGCTGGGATTGATCTTTCTCTTCAAACAGATCGGAAACCCGGAGTTAACTGCTAGTTGGTGAAACTGGTTGGTAGACGGGATCTGCTCGCTACCATCAGCCTTCCCTGGCTGTTAAAAGCAGATGGTGGCTGAGGTTGGTTCCATGCCGGCTGCGTCCTCTGTGAAGAAGCCCTTTGGTTTCAGGAGGAAGATGGGCAAATGGGGCTGCCACTGCCTCCCCTGCTGCAGGGGGAGCAGGAAGAGCAACGTGGGTGCTTCTGGAGACCAGGACGACTCCGCTGTGAAGACATTCAGGAGCAAGATGGGCAAGTGGTGCTGCCATTGCCTCCCCTGCCGCAGGGGGAGTGGCAAGAGCAACCTGCGCCCTTCTGGAGACCAGGACGACTCTGCTATGAAGACACTCAGGAGCAGCAAGAGCGATGTGGGCGCTTGGGAAGAATACGACGACAGCGCCTTCATGGAGCCGAGGTACCATGTCTGTCGAGAAGATCTGGACAAGCTCCACAGAGCTGCCTGGTGGGGTAAAGTCCCCAGAAAGGATCTCATCGTCATGCTCAGGGACACTGACGTGAACAAGACGGACAAGCAAAAGAGGTAACCGGGCCTGGGCTGGGAGGAGGAGGGACGTGGGGGGGTGATGGGGACAAACCCTCCTGGCAGGAGAGAAGGGGGGCTGCTTTCTTGTCTGCGCAGGCCCCACACCACCCTGGGTGTGGAAACCTCAGCGAGGGCAGAGGTTAGGGCACAGGTCCCTTTGTGAGCAGCAACACAAAACAAAGCTTGAGCTGATTTCCAATCCAATTATAATTTCCTTCACAGAACACTAATAAATTGTTTTAAAGTGATTTAACTCGAAAAATTAAGTTGATGCAGCAGATTATTTTTAATGTACACATTTTAAAGCAATGTTCTATATATTATAGAAAAGTGTATATTGAGAACTAAGAACGAAGCCTCATAACATATCAATTTCAAGGCTAAATATTCTTCAAATAAAATCCAGTATGGATTTTTTATCAATGTACCCTATGTAAATATGTTCTTTACTGAGGAACCTTAGAAAGAAACTGAAATGGCAAGAAGGTTCGTGTGCTTGAAAAGGAAGATTGAATTTTCTGAAGATGTGAGCTTTTTCTATTTATCACTTCTACCTATGCCAAATAAAAATAGCAAAGTTTTAGAGTTTTTACACATGCTGTCTTTTATTATTGTGATAAATTATTTTTTTGTAACAGAATGGAAAAAGACTTGCTTTTCCAGATATCAAAATGTGCATGTGCTATTTCCACAAATTGTTCACTAACAGCTGAAAAGATCAGTGAGTAGAACAGAATAGGAAATCCAGAAATACCCAAATATATGTAAGAGTTTAGCACTTGATAATGGTGATGTTTTGTATTATTTTAAAAAGGTGGATTGTTCATAATTCATTTTTGGAGAAAACTAGCTAGATTTTTATGTCACAAAAATAAGAGTATAGATTAAAAATTTTAAATCAACAAAAGCGAGAGAAATCAAACAGAAGGAAGACACAATGCCTAGTGTACTATATGGCAGGATCTACTAATACTATTACCCCCTAACTATATATAGTAATTTTTTTTTTTTTTTTTTTTTGACAGAGTCCACTCTGTTGGCCAGGCTGGAGTGTAGGTGGTGTGATCTTGGCTCGCTGCAATCTCTGCCTGTTAGGTTCAAGCAATTCTCTGCTTCCCAGTGTCTAGTACGTGGGGTAAAGGGCCTGCGCACCGACGCCTGGGGCTAATTTTTTTTGTATTTTTAGTAGAGGATGGGGTTTCACATCTTGGCCAGGCTTGGTCTTGATATTCCTGGTCTTGTGATCCATTGCACCTTTGGCCTCCCAAAGTGGCTGAGATGACAGGGAGGTCGACGTGCCGGCCTACTATTATGCAGGATGGTAATTAATAGAAAGTACGGATGTTCTGAAATTGGGGCATGGTTTTGTAGGTAGTTCTACCAGTGACGACCGTACGGTAGGAAAACGCGGTGTTCCTGGTAGGAGAAGGATTTAAGTGTAGAGGGAATGAAATACTGTGTTGTCTGACTTAAGTTGAAGAGGAGTGAAAGGCCGGGTGCAGTGGTTCACGCGCTGTTAATCCCAGCACTTTTAGGAAGCTGAGGCAGGGCGATCACAAAGTCAGGAGTTTGAGACCAGCTGCGGTGTGGTGAAACCCATCTCTACTAAAAATACAGAAAATTAGCTGGGGCATGGTGGCATGCACCTGTAATCCCAGCTACTCAGGAGGCTGAGGCAAGAGAATTGCTTGAACCAGGGAGGTGGAGGTTGCAGTGAGTCGAGATCACCACTATATCCAGCCTGGACGATGGAGGAGAGTCCATTCAAGAAAAAAAAAAAAGGAAGGGAAATTACGGTTTTATCACGAAGTTTTGTGAGGATGAAGAATAGTGGTACGTATATAGTCGTTCAAAGTTTAAGTTGCTGCAGCTTTTCAAACAGACACTTTAGTGGTAAGAACCACATTTTTAAAATACAGATACTTTTTACTATCAATTCCATTATACTGAAATATCTTTACGAAATAGATACATCTGTTTTTCTCAGTATTGCTTAAAACAACAGTGTATTTAGAAGAATTCATAGATTTTATGAACAAATTTCGGTGCATCCATAGGATGGAATAATAAGTAACTATTGAGGGCGTCAGTAGATCCAGAGATATGTTGACATGCAAAGATGTACTTTGCTATATCAAGTGAGAAAAAAATCTGTGATACATATACACAAACAATCTGCTCTTGTGTTAGCTGAAAATATGTAGAAAATATAATCAAACTTATGTCTGGGGATTTGTAAGTGAAGTTCTTCCCTTTCTCTTATCTGTGATTTCTGCAATGAACATCTGAAGTTTAGTTAAGGTTCGTTAGTAATGAAATAATCCTTGGGAAGAGAAGGAATATGCTGCTTGCATAGATACAACTAATTTCTCACATTCTATTATTTATTTTTATTTGTGTGGATGACTGTCTTCTGTGAACTTTTATTCTCTTCAGACGTAGAGGGATTCTGTTCACCTGTTCCTGTAGATTTTATTGTATATACATTTTATTATATAATTATCTTTTCATTATATATAGGTTAACGTGTAAAAAGTATGACTCATTTTAGTTGAGTTATATACTTGTGAAAATTAAAATAGCAAATACTAATGATTATTACTATTGCACATGTATTCTACTCTACAGCAGTTTTCTTTAAAAATATTGAACTCCCAAGCTGCGTTTATCCATTCTTTCAGTCCATTTAGTCATCAGACATAAGCCAGACACCTATTATGTGGCAGGCGTATTCTACTATCTCTCAAGATCCTTCCATCTTTGAAAACTTCATGTTTACCTGCTGGGCATGAGCAAGCTGAGAGATTTAAAGTTGGAGCATTAGGACTTAATCTCAATGGAAGCTTTTCCTCCCTCCTTTCAAACAAAAGCATTTCTGAAGGTAGAAAATAGTAAAAGAGAACGTTTAATTGCCTTTTTGAACATTTATAAGTCTTGGATAAAGACTGTTTTAGTTGTTTTAAGAACTAAAATGTGGTAGATAAACGGCAGGGAATACTATGCAGCCATAAAAGAAAGAGCGAGAGCATGTCCTTTGCAGGGACATGATGGTGTTGAAAGCCATTATTCTCAGCAAACTAACATAGGAAGAGAAAACCAAATACTGCCTGTTCTCACTCATAAGTGGGAGCTAAATGATAACACACAGATACCTAGAGGGAAGGAACACATGCCGGGCGGCCTATCAGAGGTGAAGGGTGGGAGGAGGGAGAGAAGCAGGAAATAGAGTGAACGGATACTGGCTTAACGCCTGGGTAATGAAATCATCTGTCCAACCAACCCCCTTGGCGCACGTTTACCTGTGTAACAAACCGGCACATCCTGCACCTGTACCCCTGAATGTAAACATTGAAAAAAGCTCCGCAAATAGTTTCATAAATCCATTTTTAAAAAAGAAAATTTATAACAGTCTTAAATCCTAATATGAAAGATTGGAAATATCTGATGTACATACATTGTATAAATCTAAGTATTGAAAAAAATGAGCCCATGGTATTTATTTGAATTTCCAGATATTCTTTGGCTTAAAGTTTTTTGAAAACCAAAGCAAGAATTAGTTTATTTTAGAAATTTGTTTTTGTTTTCACCTCAGCCCTCTTATTCCATAGGTTTTTTAAGAACTAAAATTTATTTAAATGCTGGTCATCTGACTGGAACCGCCCCAGACCTGTTATAACATATTCTACTTAATGTAAGGCACCAGGGGTTGTATGATGCCCCATTATTTTATGTCTTAATAAGAGAATTATTTAAATGCCGCCAATTATAGTAAATCATGAATTATAAGTGATATTTCAGTGGAGACAACATGGAGACAATGATCATCTTAGAATCACTGAAATACAACGTTACCTGTAGTCTTTAAAACGTACCTGAAAGTGTAGGTATAATTGTATCATCTCACTTAATTCAAATGCCTTTAGGGTATTAGTAAAAATGGTAATATCGAACAATTATTGAGCTGTTCTTTGTGTTAGGAACTATTCTATCTCTTTTGCGTAGAGTCTCATTTAAGCATTACAGTGGTTTCCTGTGAGAAAGCTACTATTTTCATTCCCATTTTATTGATGAGGAAACTGAGACACCAAAAGGCTAAGCAACAGCTGGGAAGTGACAGAGCTTCAAGTAGGGTTCCAGCCCAAGCTGAAAGTCATCCAAGGGCTGTGCTGTTTCTATTCAAACAGGCTACTCTTTCATTAATAGAGCGAGTAATGAGAGAGAATAAACAGTGTGCTTTCTTCATGGGAAAATTAAATGTTTGTTTTGAAGGCAGAGTAATAGCAGGCTATTCAGTGTTTGCAATTACACGAATCATTGATGTGCCTGTAGCTAGTGCACTACACTTTCCTAAAAAGTCTCACTCTCCTAGGACTGCTCTACATCTGGCCTCTGCCAATGGGAATTCAGAAATAGTAAAACTCCTGCTGGACAGACAATGTCAACTTAATGTCCTTGACAACAAAAACAGGACAGCTCTGACAAAGGTATGCAGTAGCCAACTGTATCAGCGTGAGATGGGTTTGATTTCAATACATAGCATAAAAATGAGTTTTCTCCTCTAAATGTAACTAGTTGGCGAAAGCTATGGAATGTTACTTTGAATTCCTAGCATTTATAATTTGTTTTTGGTCTAACACTGACAGGCTGTACAATGCCAAGAAGATGAATGTGCGTTAATGTTACTAGAACATGGCACTGATCCAAATATTCCAGATGAGTATGGAAATACCTCTCTACACTATGCTATCTACAATGAAGATAAATTAATGGCCAAAGCGCTGCTTTTACATGGTGCTGCTATTGAATCAAAAAACAAGGTATAGATCTACCAGTTTTCTTTTCAAAATAGCATTCATTTTAACAGTGACCTGTGTAAAGGCCAGTTTTCCGTATTTGGAAGCTCAAGCATAACCTGAATGAAAATATTTTGAAATGACTTAATTATCTAAGATTTTATTTTAAATATTGTTACTTTCAAAGAAGCATTTGAGGGTACAGTTTTTTTAATGCACTTGTGATAAATACTTTTTTTGAAAACACTGAATTGGTAAAAGGTAATACTATTTTTCAATTTTTCCCTCCTAGGTTTTTTTTTTTCCCCCAATGAATGTAAAATTGCAAAATTTGCCCTGCAATAGGTTTTACACGAAAACGCCAAGAACACTTAAACATGTTTCAGTGAATAGAAATTCTGCTGCTTTGGCAAGTTCCTAAAAAACAGTAATAGATACGAGGTGATGCACCTCTCAGTGGCAAGGCTTAAGATATTTCTGATTGCTCATGAGGCAGAAGTGGAAAGGGAAAAAGAGCAATCAGAAATACCAAGGCCAGTCTGGAAATTAGGTAATAGAGGGAAGAGACCATGAAGAGGCTGTGTGCGTGTATGTGTGTGTGCGTGTGTGTGTGTGTCTCTGTGTCTGTGTGTGGTGGTGTTCATTTATTTGTTTCCTTTGTATGGTGAGACAAGGTTCTCTTCAATTTTAGAGAATGACAGTTTTCATTTTGGGAGAGGGAGTTAGTGAGTTGCGAACTGCCTAGAGATCAATTTTAGGAGGCCTCTGAAGAACCAGATTGGCAGTGAATAGGTGGTCATGTAATGGGAAACCCTTGAGCAGAGGGAATAACAAGTAATTAACTGACTTAGTATCCTATTCTGGTAGAAATGGCCAATTAGAGTCTCAACTCTGCTTTCAAATCTAGCATGTCTGGATGGGAAGGTGGGAGATAAGGAGCTTTCAAGTAACAAGATCAAGTTGGATTTTGAGTTTACTAGACCTTGTTCTACTCTTACCGGGGAAAATTATGTGGTGTTTTCAGCAAATGAGTCTCTCTCCTACTCTTTCCTCTTTTTGGCCAAATCAAATGAGAAAGGGAATTGGTCACGTGGGTGAGAAATGAGACTGAAGTAACTGTCTGTTGTATTAGCTTCCAGCTAGAATTTTGCATCCCAGTAACCTGAGGAAAATTTTTAAATAATAAGTCTAGGTTTTTTCCTGAAGATTTTGATAGAGTAAGTCCAGTAAAGCCTAGATATGTATGTTTAAAAATGTTTCCCTTGAAGCCCCAGGGGCATTGGTGGTGCATGGCTGTAGTCCCAGCTGCTAGGGAGGCTGAGGGGGAGGGATTGCTTGAGCTCAGGAGTTCGAGTCTAGCCTGGTTAACATACTGAGACCCTGTCTCTAACATCAACAATAACAACAACAACAATTTTCTCAAAATCTGATACACACCTGCTTAAGAACCACTGAATACATAAATGTAAGATGTAAATTCTTATATCTCAGAAACTTAAGATATCTGTAGAAGAGTTGGAGTTGGATATGTGCTGATTTCTTTAAATCTTTCCTATCCAATATACATTAATCTGACCTTTCTTTTTTTTTTTTTTTTTTTTTTTTTGGAGATGTGGTCTCACTCTGTTTCCCAGTCTAGAGTGCAGTGGTGCAATCACAGCTCACTGCAGCCCTGACCTTCCTAAGCTCAGATGGTCCTCCAACCTCAGTTTTTGTATTTCTCTTTTTTTTTTTTTAGTAGAGATGAGGTTTTTGCCATGTTTCTAGTGCTGGTCTTAAACTCCTGGGTTCAAGGTGATTCACCTGCCTCAGCCTCCCAAAATGCTAGGATTACGGGTGTGAGCCACCATTCCTGGCCTAGTCTGACTTTTATCTCTGTGGTGAGACATTAAAATGAATATTATTGGCTTAATATTCGTCAGCTTACAGAGTAATACCCTTTCCTTCCTACCGTCAGTTATTCGCTGCCATTCAGAAGGTCTTTAGAAATGTGCAGTGAGTAGTCTTTGAGTCAGTAGAGGATGATCCTCTCGGGATTTTGTGTCTCTTTGTTATCATTCAAGTGCTTAGGTCAGTACAACGCTCCGTATGCTTAACGAACCATAGTTTCTCTAAAATTCTAGAATTGGTACAATTAGTAAACTTTTTTTGTCAATTGAGCGTATTATCGGGACTGATCGCAGGTGTGTCTCATAAGTGTATGGTAGAGCTGTTGGCATAAGATCAAACATGGCATTTTTAAACCACTAGAAACCATGGAGTTCACTTACAATGAATCACAGATAGGAACTCTGTTCTAATTTGTTCGCTCAGTCCTACACTGAATGATCTTCCGTATTAACGCAATCTGAAAATTAAAACCAGATATGATTTTAAATAAATAATGTCTTTTGGGAAACTTTTCTTCAAATGGGCAGTATGAGTATTAACAGCACATTTTTATTATGCATGTTTGGACTTTAATCTTGGTAAAGACATGTGAAACTACAAGACAATATTTTACTGAACATTATGCTTATACCACAACAATTTTTTCATAGGGGGAGGATATAGAGACAAACGATACAGCCCCTGCCCTCCAAGACAGCTGCTTTCGTTAGGATGGACAAAATATATCATCCAATAATAGCTTGCCCAAACTGCTGGGTTAGAAGCCAAAGCGTCTTGGAAGCAGTGAATGCTTGAAAGGTGAGTTTTTGAGATGATCACGAGTTGATGTGGTGAGGCAGAGAGGGGTGTTTCCAGGGAGGGAGCAGCACCGTGGGAAAGCACAGAAGATTGAGAAGGAAAGCAGCTACATTTTACTTACTTTGTATGCGTGTAAGTCCGTAGGATCTTATATAAAGTTTCCGTTTCAGCTCTGAGGAATTCGTGCTATTTTTTTGAATTGCATTCTTTTTTGCTTTATATTGTTTTACAGCATGGCCTCACACCACTGTTACTTGGCGTACATGAACAAAAACAGCAAGTGGTGAAATTTTTAATCAAGAAAAAAGCTAATTTAAATGCACTTGATGGATATGGAAGGTATAGTTATTTCTTTTAATCTGTGTGTTGTTAACTAGATTGATAGCAGTCACTCAAGTCATAAATATTAAATTAATAAGATTAATGTGTACTTATTGGGACATAGTGGTCAGTATCAACACAAATCCGTCAGGTAGGAAAACAGTTATTTGGACTGGGCAACATAAAGAACAGTTTTTGTAGGATTCATCTTCTCTTATTGTATTGACTGATGATGTTTGTTGTATGATGTTTTGGTTACATGATCTTACGTTAGCTAGAGGGATTTCGTATTGATTTTATGAAGTGTGAACTTTAACTTTCAGTTTACTTTATGACTCAGTATTGAACTTCTTAACCCTTTCTACCAGTTTTTAACCTCTGTGTCTTATATGCTTTTCCACTAAATACGCTGTATTAAACATAAGTAGGGGTTGAAAATTCTTTTGTCTTTTCAATGACTCTGCTTTTAAGTTGCTTTCTTTGAAGAATATTAATGTTAGCTTATCCCTACATGACAATTAATTGCTATTCCCACATACTATGGGCTCAACAGCTTTCTTTTTTTATTTCCAGTGTATTTTGATGTTTTTATTTTTAATTGGTATGGAAAGAGGGAGTGAAAACAGTTTTAAGTGGGTACACTTTTCCTTTCATGAAGGCAAGCTGTAGGTGTGTGATAAAAGAGAGAAGAGCTAGGCTTTGGATTCACACAAGACTGAGTTTAATTCCTAGCTTTCTTACCTGCTAGGTGTGTGACCTTGGGAATGTTACTTACCACCAAATATGTTGTCATATATGAAAAGTAGGAGAATATATCCTTCAAAGTTGACTGTGCATAATAAGTAAGAGAGATATATATATGGCACTTAATTCAGTGCCTACTACATGCTTATTGGCATCATTAACTGACACTTCTGTGACTACTATTCTTACCATTATTATTATTACTGCTTTCAGCATGCAGAGAGCTCTTGTTTATGTTACCCTCTAGCTGATTTTTCTATTACAGCATATCAGTCTAGGGAAGCTATGATGAAATCTTCACTTAAATCTTTCTCCACTTCAGATAAGTGGTCCTAACATTGTTTCTTGCCCATCAAAGGACTTTAAATTAGTAGCTTCTACTATGCAATGCCCCAGTGAGATAAGAGGTTTCCTTTTTGTCCCTTCCTTTTAACGTTGGTGGTATTTTACAAAGATGAACACTTGAGCACCCAAGATGCTATGTCTTTTGGTGCGTGTAAATGTTTGATTGTGCACGGAGAGACAAGATGTTAAATTGGTAAAATATATCAAATTAGCTTTAAAAATAACTTTATTGCAGTTCCTAAGGGAGAAATTATCTCTGTTATTTTAGAACTGCTCTCATACTTGCTGTATGTTGTGGATCAGCAAGTCTAGTCAGCCTTCTACTTGAGCAAAATATTGATGTATCTTCTCAAGATCTATCTGGACAGACGGCCAGAGAGTACGCTGTTTCTAGTCATCATAATGTGTAAGTGTTTACATTAAAAGGCAAGTTAATGCTAAATTGAGGTTTAAAATAATTGTAACAATTGCATCTTACGTATCAGGTGAGATGTCATAGTTCGGTTCAGGTAGTTTTAGAATGGCAGTGAGTTAGTCCCCGGCATCAGCCAGAAATCAGAAAAAAAGCAAGACAAGTTAGAAGTACCAGTGGGTGGAGGATTCTTTGTCGCAGGACATTTAAGACCTTTATCCTTAGAGATCCCAACATTGTTCGTTTCATGCAAGTATAACACCTATGCATGGGATAAAAAATGGTGTCACATCTTTGATTTTTCTGATTAGTTATTTGGGTCTTGAAATGTCCAGTTTAGCAGAAAGTCTTGTACTGTCTTCTGGGGACTGTCTGCTACGTACTCCATGAATTTTTCAAGAACCGAAGGGGTTCACTAAATCCAAGGAAGACAGTCCCTTTTATCAAGTCAGAAGGAGGAGGAAAAAAAGGACATTCCAGTCATTCTGTTGTTTCCGAAAGCCATGATGATTCTTGTAAGCAAACAGGCATGATAGAGCTCCTATAAAACTTTTATTTACGAA